GATATAAAGCAGAGGATAGCGCAGGGTCGTGTCGCCTTTAATAAAAAGAAGTCACTTCTATGCTCGCGAACGGTTAATTTAGAAATTCGAAAAAGGTTGTTAAAGGTGTATGTTTGGAGCACGGCGTTGTACGGGTGCGAAACATGGACAGTGGGCGCGGCGGAAAAGAAAAGTTTAGAAGCGTTCGAAATGTTGTGTTATAAGCGGATGATGAGGATAACGTGGGTAGAAAAAGTTAGAAATGAAGAAGTATTAGAAAGAATAGGAGAACAGAGGACCATATGGAAGTTAATAAAAAATAGGCGAGATAGGTTGGTAGGACACCTTCTCAGGCATGAAGGTTTAGTCAGAGACATATTAGAGGCAGAAACAGGAGTCAATAAGAGTATAGGTAGACCTAGATCAGATTACTGTTCGCAGATAGTTAAGAATGTGGGCTGTTCTAGTTTTAGGGAAATGCGAAGATTAGCTCAGGATAGAAAAGAGTGGAAGTGCGTGTCCATCCAGTCTTAGGACTGACGACCTTATAATGATGATGTGATGATAGATCATTATTGGTGTTGTTTCTAGGATATAAAAGAATTTTTGGACAAAGCTTCTGGTGGAGCAATTTACTTCAGTTTAGGCTCGTCAATTAAGATCAACAGTGCTTCAAAAAGTATTTTTAGGCAATTCGGGGAAGTTTTTAACGAGTTACCTTATCACGTCATTTGGAAGCACGACGATGACAGTTTAACGGTGAACACAAACAAAGTACTTCTGAGAAGATGGTTTTCATCTCAACAGAGAAGCAGTGGTAGACCTAGATAAGATTTATGTTTGCAAATAGTCAAGGATGTAGGATATTATATCAGTTTTAGGTAAATGCGAAGATTAGCTCAGGATAGGAAAGAGTGGAAGTTCGTGTACAACCAGTCTTAGGACTGACGACCCTATGATGATGATGCAACTATTTAATCAAAGATATAAGAAACAGAAACACAAAATTGTTTTATATTTTTCTTAGAATCTCTAACAATTAAATTTATGATTTATGATTTTGCTATTTGGTTATTCTCAAGGAGTTAACAAGAAACAGTTTTTACGACGCATAGATGATATTTTGTAGCTTTGGAGTTCGTTTTATTTCTGCCTTTTTGTTGCCTGTTTTTTTTTTGTTTTCTTTTTTGATGGAACTTAGATTAGATTAGTTGACTGATTGCTGTCATCATATTGGCATTTCTAGAAGTTACATCTAATGTAAAAAGAGTCACAACTTCGAAACTGTAGAAAGCACCTGACGATATATTTTGAATAGAGCATTACGTATTACGACCTTTGCGACCGTCTTTCTGTTTATGCCTGATACTATTTACTAGCGCATCGTGTATATTAAGGTGACACATTATTTTTGAATAATTTCCAAAAATGTTAGAAATGAAGAGTTATTAAAAAAAGCAAGAGAATAGGGAGAGTCTGTAAGAAATAGACGAAACAGGGAAGGGTCAACTCGAGGCAATTAGAAGCAAAAACAGCACTAAAGAGGGGCAGAACAGGATCGAAAATAATAATCGGGAT